CTGTGCTGCCTGCTGCCTCCTTCTGGGTGTGCTCATCCAAGCCAAGTGAATGAGAATCAGCCAGAAACGAAAAGGCTGATTCTCTACAAACATCTCCTGAGATCGTTTCCTGGGGTTAAGCCACGGTGGACTTCTGGGCTCCCTCTGTCAGGAAGGTCTCTCTGGTCCTGCACTGGCTCTAGACAGGTCCCCAAAGCCTATGTGAGTGTGGCCGAGGCTCTGAACCTCTCCTGGTCATCAAACCAGAATGGACCCTGGTCATGTCTGACACCCCTCAAGTTCTAAGATTACCTAGGGTGACCCTTTTTTGCACTCACTGGACTCACGCCTTGGACTGAGGTCCTGCACCTCGGGTCTGAGTTGCTGCTTTCCCTTTGAGGAGCCAGAATATTGCTCCTTCATCTCTAGGCCTGGAAGAGGCTTAGGAAGTTGGAAGAGAGTCTAGACTATAGCTCCACAGTGTGGGGCTCTGGGGAGGAGGACCACGAGGACAGGGTGAGATGGGGGAGGTTGCTCTGCTTGTCCGCCTAGGACAGGCTACCTGTTAGGTCGTGGGATCTTCTCCTGGGCGTGGCCTTCCTTGAGCTGGAGGAAACTGTTAGAAAGCGGGTACAGCAGGATGGACGGGCAGGGCATGCAGCTCTGGCATTCTTGGACAAAGATAGCCTTCTAAGTTTCCACCGCTCTCTCTTTCCTTGGAACGTTTGGCTCCAAATCCCCACGCCGGCAGCGGGGAGGCATCAAGCTCAGGGCCAAAGGCAGACTGCCCTGACCTGATTCTGCGGGGGATGCTGGGCATCCTGGCCGGGAGGCTGGGGTGGAAGAGAATATTGTGTCTGGCTGCCGCTGTTGCCCTAAGGGGACGGTGTGTGGGCAGTGTTGACTTTTTATAGCTGCATGGGAAACATCAGGGAAGAGGGTGGGCTGGCCGTGGCCTGGGAGCCCAGCTATATTCCACCAGCAGAGAGGGCCCCTGCCTCAGCCTCTAGAGGTCCTGCAGGCTAGGCTGGGCAGGGAGCCAGTGAAGGTGGGAGGGACGAGGAGAATTGCTGGTGGTAGAGAGCGTCTAGTCTCGAGGCCACACGCTAGGTGGAATCTGACCCACAGATGTGCTTTGTTTAGCCCACCTGGTGCTTTAAATCAGAAGATCTGGCAACACCAGGCTGGATTTACATAACGCTGTCCCTTCAAAGGGGACACACAGCATCTGTTTTGCCCCAGGCCCCGCCTCTCACACCTGCCTGCTTCATCTCTGTTCACTGTGGCACCTGTGTCTGCAGCCTCTGGTCTCGCAGGCAAGCTGAGCCTCTGCTCTTTGTGTCACCAGTTCTGATGGTTCTCACTGCCTTCCAGTGGGTTCCAGTGGGGGTAGGGTCAGAGGTCAGTCGGGGAGCTTAGCCCCGGGAATTGCACTGGGACATCGGGAGCATCTTGGGAAAGGACATTATTCCCTGAATGAACAGAAGCCTCCCTCTGCTTGCTTCTCTCTCTGAGCTTCTGCATGCACACGAGTGTGTGGTTCTGTGCACGTGTGTGTGTATGTGTGTTTGTGTCTGCACATGGGCCACACAGAGGGTATCAGACCCAGCTCTCCCTGGAGCATCCATTTTGGCCAAGGATCGGGGACTCTACCTGTTGGACCAGTTTGATGCCTGCCCCAGAGCACCCTGAGGGCTCTCTGCACCCTGCTGTTTGCCTCACAAGGTCTGCTCTTGAGAAGGGCCCCTTCTAGGACCAGGAGCCAGGCTGGGGCCAGGAGGACCCAGCTGGGCAGGGAGGTGATGCCCCGCCTCTCTTTTGTATTTGCTTGGTGCTGGCTGAAGATGCGCCAGGAGGAGACCAGCTATACGGTGGTGCAGACGAGTGAGGAGGGGCTGGCGGCCAGCGGCGAGCTCCCCGGACCGCTCCTGATGCTGGCCCAGAACTGCGCTGTCATGCACAACCTGCTGGGCCCGGCCTGCATTTTCCTGCGTAAGGGCTTCGCGGAGAACAGGCAGCCTGTACGTAAGTTGGCCCCGGTGGAGCCGCGCTCGACTTGGCTTCACAGGGCGTGAGGAAGGAAGGTGCTGGGAAGAAGAGGGGGCTCTGTACTCAGCAGTGCGCGTCCCCCAGCGGATACACCTCAAACCCGCAACTTGTGAATCTGACCCCCAAAGTTTCCCACTGATGGCTGCAAAGCCCTGGTGAGTCCACATCCACCAGCAAGAAATAATAGCAGCTAATATTGCTTGGGTATTTTTTTTTTTTTAAGCACTTACTATATGCCAGGCACTGTGCTAAGTGTGTTGGCTCATCACCTCTCTTAAGCCTCAGGGCAACTCCAAGAGGTAGGTACTATTATCCTCCCCATTTTACAGATGAGGAAACTGAGTTGGAGAGGTAACATGCTCAAGGTAACATCTGGTGGGTGATAGAGGTGGGATTCAGATTCAGGGATACTGACTCAAAGACCTCCTGTGCTCTGAACAATGGTACTGAATATGTAGCACCATCCAGTAGAACTTTCTGTGGAAACACTGTCCAATCTGCGCTGCCCTCCCTCTACAGTCGCCACTAGCCACATGTGGCCGCCAAGCCCTTGAAATGTGGCTAGTGCAACTGAGGAAGTGAATTATTAATTTTCTTTGATTCCAATTCCAATTTAAATAGTCACATGTGGCCACTGCTTTGGACGGCCTCCCATGGGTATCTGAACAGTCACAGAGAGGAGGGTATTAATGGTGATGTTACAGATTCAAACATCAGTAGGTTTAAATGCCACCTGTTAAACACTTTACGCATCTTGCCTCACAGATGCTCACAAAGGCCGTGTAAGGTGAGTACCGGTATTAACCCATTTTACAGATGAGGAGACTGTGGTGCACACAGTTGAAGGGACCTGCCCAAGATCCTATATCTAGGAAGCAGCAGATCTGGGCTTTGCCCTTGAGTCCATCTGACTAGAGGCCAAGCTTGTCCCTCGACTGCTTAAGTTGAGGAGTGAAGGGTGTGGTGGGCTCCATTCCCACCTGACCCCCCCAAATCGGTGCTCATCGTTTCTCTGCCCCATTGGTGGGCATCCCCAGTTCTACTGCACATCCTCCCGCTGCTCTGCCCTGGGGAGTGTATGATTCAGGGACCAGCCAGCAGGACTCAGTTGGACCAGCTCCGGCCATGGGCACACTGCCAAGGGGTACCCAGCTTTTTTGCTCCCTGGCTCTGGGTTTATAAGAAGTAGGGTGGGGGCTGCAGAGCTGGGTCCTGGAGACGTGAGAGGCTACTTGAGGCCTGCAGGGTGGGAAAGGTTGTATCACTTGTCCCAGTGAGCATACTCCGCACATGTGAGTGCATGCATACAGTCGCTGACACTTTCACTTACCGGGGGTACCGGGCATTGTAAAAGACATTCTTTTTGGTCACCCAAGATCCCAGTCTGACTCGGAGCAGCTAGTGGGTGATAGAGGTAGGATTAGGTAGGTATTAGAGGGCGTGACAACCCCTCCCTGTGCACAGTGACAGGTTTTTAAAGTGGAAGTCCTTACAATTATTTCACAGAAACAGACATCTTCAGGTGAGTCCTACCTTCAGCTAAAAATGCCGCTAGCAGGACCTGGTAGCCTGCAGCCTACTCGTTCCAGGCTCACGTACGCTCTCAGCACTGTCCTAACATGTATGGCCACTTCTGAGAGCCGGGTCCTTCTTGCGTAGCTGGTGGTCCCACAAATGTTGCTCAGCAGCCCCTTTCTAGAAGATTCTCAGATTTTCCAGCACTTGGGGTCCCTTGCCCTGGGGCCAGTTTGGAGCAGGTGGTGTGGGCAGCAGCCTGTCACCCACCCTGGCCCTATTGGCTAGAACAGCCTGTGTGCACAGCTGAGATGCCTCACGCTCGCTGTGGCCCGCTCGCTGTGGCACACCCGTGTGTCTGTGTTCGTGATCGGTGTGCCCACACCTGATGTGCACTTCCTCAGGGCGGGCACGCCCTGCCCCGTGTTCTCCCTGCCCAAAGGCAGAGAGCTGTGACATATGGAGAGGATGAGCCCCGTGGACCAGTTTTGGAGCCTGCTAAGCATGTCCATCTGGGCACCGCATCCATTTCATGCCAGTCTGTCTCCCTCCTGGGCAGGCCTGGGGCGACTGACACCTCACCAGCCGGAGCCTGCCCCCTGCTTCCTCTGGGCCTGCTCTTTGGAGACTTCTCTGCCATCTGTTCAGATGCCTCGTCCCAGGGCTTCCTCGACTCCCCAAGGAGACCTGGGCACTGTTTGAGGCTGCAGACGTGCGCTTTGGACCCTGGCGGCCGCCAGAGGCACTGGCGGGCCCCAGGGTCCTATGCTGTGTCCTGTGACAGGGCGAGGTATAGGATGGGGGTCCAACTGGAGAAGGTGGGGTGGTGCCCAGGAAGCAGGGCACAGCCTCATCCTGCCTCCACTCCCTCGGCTCTTCCTCCGCCTCCTGTTCCTCCCTCTTGGGTGCCGGTCTGGGTCCCCACTCCACCCCCCCCCCCCCCCCCCCCCCCCCCCCCCC